CGCCACCGCGGACGTGCCACGCGGGTGGCCCGCGCTCTTCAGCAGCACCGGAGGAGCCCCCCTCGGCCTGGGCGTGCCAAGGTGACCCCCGGTAACCCCCCTGCCCCGCAGGCTGCGCGCCCCCGCCGCTGAGGGAGCAGCCAAATGCATGCACATCCTTCTCTCTGTCTGTCTGTCTGTCTGGGCACCTCAGTGGTACACACCTACCTTTTGTGGCCCTTGCTCTCTGGTCCGTGCACATGGGGAGAGGCTGGGACACCCCACCTCTTTGTTTGGGTCCGGAGGTGTGTTTGGGGGTGTGCACGCGCGTGGGGGATGTTTGGGAAGGGTGGGAGTTCGAGGTCCTTAACATATTCCACCCTCCTGCAGACTTGTAGCTGCTGGGCGGTGCTCTCAGCTGCCCAGATGTCAAACAGTTGTTGCTTTTTGGCATGCGAGATGCAATTAGCCAATGTCGGTTCCCAGAGCTTTGGCGAGCGCGCTTGTGCCGCCTCGGGAGTCCTGTCCTGTGCTTCCCTCGGTGACAAACGGCATTTCAGTTGTGGGGGTTTAATCCATGCAGACTTCAGCTTTTGTTTCTAATTCCTGAAGCTCGTGGCATTTTTGACACCGATATCTGAGCCCAGGGCTGTCTGTCTGTCTCTGTGTGTCTTGCATGATCTTGGATTGGCACCCTACCATACCCAAACATTAAAAAGCCTGTCTTTCCGTTGAAGAGGACAGGGGTTAAAATGAACGAAGACCTGAAGGTCAATTTAAGCGGGCTGCCTCGGGATTGTATAGATGCCAGTGCTCCGGAGAACATCTCAGCCGCTGTCCCCTCCCAGGGCCCTGTTGTGGAGTCAGAACCCGAGCTTGTTGTCAACCCCTGGGACATTGTCTTGTGCAGCTCAGGAACCCTCATCTGCTGTGAAAATGCCGTTGTCGTCCTTATCATCTTCCACAGCCCCAGCCTGCGAGCACCCATGTTCTTGCTGATAGGCAGCCTGGCTCTTGCAGACTTACTGGCTGGCCTGGGACTCATCATCAATTTTGTTTTTGCTTACCTGCTTCAGTCGGAAGCCACCAAGCTGGTCACAATCGGACTCATTGTCGCCTCTTTCTCTGCCTCTGTCTGCAGTTTGCTGGCTATCACTGTGGACCGCTACCTCTCACTGTACTATGCCCTGACGTACCACTCTGAGAGGACCGTCACATTCACCTATGTCATGCTGGTTATGCTCTGGGGGACCTCCATCTGCCTGGGGCTGCTACCTGTCATGGGCTGGAACTGCCTGAGGGATGAGTCCACCTGCAGCGTGGTCAGACCTCTCACGAAGAACAATGCTGCCATCCTCTCCATCTCCTTCCTCTTTATGTTTGCACTGATGCTTCAGCTCTACATCCAGATCTGTAAGATTGTGATGAGGCACGCCCATCAGATAGCCCTGCAGCACCACTTCCTGGCCACATCGCACTATGTGACTACCCGGAAAGGCGTCTCAACCCTGGCTCTCATCCTGGGGACCTTCGCTGCCTGTTGGATGCCTTTCACGCTCTATTCCTTGATCGCCGATTACACCTACCCCTCCATCTATACCTACGCCACCCTCCTGCCCGCCACCTACAATTCCATCATCAACCCTGTCATATACGCTTTTAGAAACCAAGAGATCCAGAAAGCCCTCTGCCTCATTTGCTGTGGGTGCATCCCTTCCACGCTGTCCCAGAGAGCGCGGTCTCCCAGCGACGTGTAGCAGCCTCGCGCCTGCAGGACACTGCCTCTACCAAGCACCCCCACTGCCCAGGGTGGCCAGTGCTGTCCTCCCCTGGAATTCTTTGCACTGGATTATCCCAGGCAGAAGTGATGACATCAGATAAGCGAGGGCAGTGGAAAAAATCACGTCACCAGTGTTAAAAAAAAAAAAAAAGACTTCTCTGCTCAGCATTATGTTGTTGGATTTGGAAGTTAGGTTTTATTATTATTTTTTAAAATATCTTATTTATGAGGTTTTTGTTTGTTTGTTTGTTTGTTTGTTTGTTTGGAAGGTGTAGTGGGACCCCATGTGGCCATGAAATTCTGCACAAGTCCCAGGCTTTTTAACCTAGACTTGAAAATAAATCAGTTTTTAAGGAAACTGGAGAAGGAATTTTTCTGGATTTTTAAAAAAATAAATCAAGGTAGATCTTCCATTCTGTATGTATCTAACAGGATATGAGTTTTTCCATATGACCAAAGTAGTTTACATGATTACGTTCGGAAAGGCTTGTTTTCAGTAACACGAACTCGGTAATAAGTTTCCAATAACAAAACCACGAACTCCCTTGTTCTCTCTCTATCAGCAGTCACTGCTCGTGAGAATTACTTTGCAGTTTCTCCGTGTTACAGTTTGGTATGCATGGTTACCTGTGGTAGTTAGACCACTAATTGCAATATTGCCACGTTAAACTCAGAATTAAAAGTCATTTTTCAATGCAGTTTTAATATAGTCTTTCCAAAATGAGTCATGAAAAAAAAAAAAAACGTTTTGAATTACAGATGAAGTAGCACTGATTTGCCATAGATTTGCCATTGTGATTTTTAAAACTTCAGTCTGGTGGTCTTCAAAAAACAAAAGAGAAAATATTATCTATTGAAAGTAGATTATATTTATTTTAATATATTCTGAAAAATAAATGAGTATGACACTGTTAAGAAATCTACAAACATCACTTCTTACATCTCTGTCTATGAATCTATTGATGTTTTTCTTGCTTAAGATGAATAGAATTAAGTATTATAAACCAATATTTTTCTGGTTCATATTGTTGGTAGTGCAAAATGCATCTGAAGCAGGTGGTCTCCTATCTTAATGACCAGGTCTGTGAAATGCCCAGCTAACATGACTGGTGTGTGCCCAATCTGTGTCCTATGGGCTCACAGCTCACAGGAAGAGCGACCATGTGTTTGTTGGTGAAAAGTTTAATTTATTTTCACCAAAAGATACCCTACAAGGACTCTGTTACCTGCCTTCAGAGAGCAAAGGTGTAGCTGGGAAATGAGCACAAGAAGTGACCTGAAACACTCAGCAAGGTCCTTGTGCCTGAATGTCACTTTCTGTGAGAGCAGACAGCATCCTTCTGTTTGTAATGGGCTCATTGCTGTGTCTCTACGGGAAGCGGAAAAATTCCTGGCTGGTGCATCAAGACCAGTATCCTTGGGGGCATCATTTGTAATAGGTGCCCCTCAAAGATTTGTCCCAATCAGTATGCCCAGGGTGGTTTTTAGGAACAATCTCCAAAGCCTGCATGCCAAAGCCATTCCTCCAAAGCTGCTTCTCACGTAGCGCAAGTGAGAATAAATCCTTTACTTGACTTTGCATCTCCTCTCTAAGGTTATTTATGGAAGCATGTGATTTTTAAGAAGCGGGAAAGGATTTTCAGCACTGTATAATACCCCCAACCCATTTGACAGTTTTAAAACATTTCTTTTGAATATCGGATGGGCTTGGTAGAACGAATAGGTTGAGTCTGTTTATTTATTTATTTTACTTACATATATGTACATGTGTATGCGTGTGTGTGTGTGTGTGTGTGTGTGTGTGTGTGTGCGCGCGCGCGCGCGTGCCCGCGCACATATGAGTACAGGTGCCCTGAGAGGCCAGACATACCCAACTGGCCTGGAGCTGGAGTTACAGATGGTTGTGAGCCACATGTGGATGGTGGGAATAGAACCAGGGTCCTCTGCAAGAGCAGCCAGTGATCTTAACCACTGAGCCACCTCTCCAGCCCTGGTAAGTTAGTTTAGACATGGGCAGGGAAATATTCATAATGAGTTCTTAAAGCAACAGATGATGTTTTATGGAAATGGCAGTTCTCACATGCATATCTCTGGTGGGAATTACAGGAGAGCAGTAAGTTTCGACTGGACCACATGTGTTCTCAGCTCCATACTTGGTGTTTTACCAACTTTTAAAAAACTGTAGCTGTGAAAACACACGTTTGTGGTGAGAAAACCGCAGCTGCAGAGAGAGACAGAGAAACAGACTGAAGCTACAGTGTAGTGTAGGGCTTTCCACAGCCTAGAGCGAGTTCCTTCCCTGCATAATGCTGTCTTTGATCCCTCACTCCAAAGAAAGCTGCCTTTTAGCATATAGCTGCCACGGAATCTGGGTGCTATGATTAAAAGAAAGCTTCCAATTTAAAATTACGCGTGGACCAATAACCAATGCTTGTCTACATGGTGAGCTGTGTGAAGTGGTCTTATAAATATTTATTCAGTGGTTGCTTGAAAGTTTTTACGTTCATTTGTTTGTGTATAAGTGTATGTACATGTGTGTATGGTGTGTGTGTGTGTGTGTGTGTGTGTGTGTGTGTGTGTGTACCATGTACGGAGTTCTGAGAACAATCTATGAGAGTCAGTTCTCAGTTTTCTCTTTCTACCTGTGGGTTCTGGGCCCTTCGGCTTGGTGACAAGCGCCTTTACCTGCTGAGCCGTCTCGCTGGCCCAGTGGTTGTTTTTGACCCATGATTTTAGAAAAACACCCAATTTTACTGGAGAGGTTTTTCTTCAGTCCTTACTGTTTAAATTTTAGGAGTTTAGAACATTTAAGTTATTTCCTACAAGGTTTCTCTGTTCTGAATAAGGATAACCACTAAGAAACACACACCTATCTCAATGTAAGTCTCTGTGTACAAGGCTATGCGTATATATTAGTCACATTTGGGGCCACTTTAGGACAGCAGAGAATCTTTTGTTCCATACGATTACAATTACTACTTACCAAGGAATATATTGTCTTCTCAGTAGGAACAGTTGTATCTGTTAGACAATTTAATTATTTTAGCAGACTCCTTAGTCCAGAGTATTTACCCAGGTGGTGGCTGTGTGAGTTCTGTTTCATTTTGGTCTTGGACGTTCTTTATTTCAGTCAAGTCCACTTGGTGCTCCCTGGCAAGTAGAGCTCAGTCACTGAGCTACACACCCAGCTCCAGTCAAGTTTGCTAGTGGTGGAGCGGCCATCTCCCTTCCTGGGAGCTGAGGTGGGGCCAAGGCCTTCCTCATTTAAATGCCTAAATCGAAGAGTCAAGTTGTGGAGCAGAAACAGCCATAGATTTCCCCAGGATTTGGAACAGGATGGAAACACAATGAAGACAGGGAATCATACTCAAAAAAGGACAACAGAGATTCCTTAAACTTAAAACAAAAACAAAAACAAACAAAACAAACAAACAAAAAAACCCTCATCAGCTACTAAAGAATTGCTTGCCTTTAATTCACGGTCTCAGTAAGTATCACGCGAAGGTGAATAGGGCGCCATTTCACGCCGGAAACGCGCACCACAACTAGTGACTACTCCGGTGTGATTTCGAGCCGGGTTTATATTCGTTCCCACCTTGCAGACTCTCGCACTGTAATACTGGAACACACTGCTTTCTTGTCCCATCTGAAAGTGGTAATGCTTCTTGGGATGGTTTTGGTGTCCACTTAGGACCTTTAGATCTCGCTTGAACTTTTAAGAGTCATTCGACTTGGGGCTGGAGAGATGGCTCAGTCTGGCTGTTCTTCCAGAGGACCGGGGTTCAATTCCCAGCACCCATAGGACAGTTAAAAACTGCCTGTAGCTCCAGTTCCAGGGGATTTGACACCTCACACAGACTTACATGCAGGCAAAACGGCAATGCACATAAAATAAATAAGTTACTAAAAAGAAACATTCACCTAAGGTTTTTATAATAGTTTTATATATTGTGATTAAATTAGGAGATATAGCTGCCTTCTAGAAAACAATGATAGAAAAGATTATGGTCACTTTCATTAAGGCATCTAGAATGTTCTGTATTTAAGAGGCATAGCATATGAATCTCCCAAGAATTTTGTTAAAAATTCAGATTCTGTTCCCTGTATCCTGGGCATGGCTGAGTGTTTTATTAACTCCCGAGGGATTCTGGTATTGAGTGTCTATGAGTGACACTTTGAAGCTTCACAAAGAAAATGTCTAATTTTCAGCATTTGCAAAATATAAACATTACTCAGAAATATCAATCAACAAATACACGTGCTTAAAGTGTTTATTCTCATGAGTGTTAGTGAATTAACAGAGTGTGTCCAAAGGACACGAACTTTAAAACTTTTCCGGAATTTCCCAATATGTGGCTATGAAAACTGGGGCTGTATGAGTTCCACGTCAGTATCTTGCTGTTTAAGATCTAATTGGCATGGTCTGAAGGCAGTAATTTCTAGAAACTCCATGTAGTGTTCCCACCTGCAGATGCCCCTCCCTTCCATCCTTCCAGGGCAGTTCTCTTATGACGTGAGTGGTTTGTGTGTGTATGTATGGATTCATCTTGGGGGAACTGAGATGAAAACTTTGCTCTCTGGGCTCAGCACTCCGACTGAATCCCCCACAAAGCAATCTTTCTCGATAGGGACATCAAAGGCATGTGGGACGATCTCACCTCCATTTGACATCTGTCTGTGACCTTTTCTGCTGCAGCATTAGAAATTCCATTAACCTTAACCCAAAACATTTCATCTCCCGCGCTTTCTTCCTGTCCAAAGAGATGAGAATTTTACGTTTTATTTTCTCAGACAGAAATAGGTTAGAATAAGTCGTTGAGGTGAATGCCAGCACACAACTGAAATATCTCCTTTGTAGAGAATATTTTAAAAAGTCATTTAGGTTTGCTTTTGTTTCTGACACAGCATCTTGCTATGTAGCCCAGGCTGGAATCCGATCATTTTTTTCTAGATTCCAAGTCCAGTATGAAAAGCACAGGCCTGGGACACTGAGGCAGGAGGGTCTGGAGTCTAAAGCTAGCCTGGGCTATATAACAAGACTCTTTTCTTCTCCTCCTCCTCCATCCCTTCCCCTTCCCCTCCTCCTTCCCCTCCCCTCCTCCTCCTCCTTCCCTCCTCCTCCTTCTCCTCCTTCTTCTCCTCCTTCTCTCTCAATCAGATTCTAAAGTTGGGCACCAATGAATGACTTTTCACTTGAAAATAAGTTTAGAGGAGAAATGAAAATATGTACTTGGGCACAGATTATCTTGGCATTTGGCTCTTTGGACAGATCATTTTAAGTAGAATATTTAAACACTAAACCAAAGAACAAAAAAGGTTACAGAAATTTCAGTAAGGCTCGGAGTTGCGTTTCTCAACCAAACATGTTTTGAGTCTAGGGGAGTCTTACCTGAGTGGCTGAAAATGTAAACTTTTCCCACAGGGAGGGACTGTGGCCATTCTTCTATAGATGTCATGAGGTCATTGGGGTAAACCCTGAGACAGTTGCTTCTGACCCACCTGTATCCTTTTTCTAGGGTCATTTGAACCACAATAAATTTATTCTTGAATTTCATATCATCTAGTACTTGGAAGGAAACCAATAAAGTCGACTTTTCTAAAGCAAACATGAATCATCTCAGTCAAGGTATTTTTTTAAACAGAAGCTGTGAACTCTCCTATAATATTGAGTAGCAATATTTTAATACCCTCAAGCCCAGGTATTGCATTAGAATTCTGTTTCGTTTGGACCTAGCATCTGGAGGTACAGAGACATCTCTGAATCCCAGGAGTTATGATCACATTTTTGTGTTAGAAAAAGATGTGTTGAGGTTGGCTGGGGAGATGGCTCAGTGGTTAAGGTCATATACTGCTCTTCCAAAGGACTGGGGGTTCATTCCCAGAGTCTGTCAGTTGGCTCACAACCATGTTTAACTCCAGCTCCAGGGGTTGGGTGCCCTCTTCTGGTCTCTATAGGCACTGCACTTATGTTCACATACCCACATACAGACCTCACACATACATAAAATTAAAAATAAAACAAATCTTTGAAAAAATTTGTTGGCTATTATTGCTTTCCCCTTCAAGTAAAACCACCCCAATTACCCAAATCATTTATTTCGGATTTTATTTTATGTATTTCTGGTTATTTTCACCGATTCATTGTTCCTTGCCATTTTTTTTCTTCATCTAAACATTTCCTGATACCAAGTCATCAAAATGGGAACCATCATTCACTAACAGAATACTTAATGGGTAGAGGGAACTGCTGGTTACTCTCTGTTCTGCAGAATAGTGGGTTTTAGAGAGTGGTCCATCACCATCACCACCAACAGCATTTCATGGGAACAGACTCCAGTAGCTTTTCCAGCCTGCTCTTGGACTTACTGCTTAGAACTCAGGGAGTGGGGCCCCACGACCCAGGGTTAGCACTCCAGGTGTTTCTGATGGGCACTAGTTTGCTGAATTCCAGCATCGTAGAAGGTTGCTGGTGACGCTGATGTCTCTGCATCATCGGGACCCTCTGGAGTCATTATGCCACCTCAGTGCCAAGCAGCCCATAGAGACGACGGTCAAAATCAGCTTGTAGATTTCTGCCTC